GGTATGGTATGGTATGGTATGGTATGGTATGGTATGGTATGGTATGGTATGATATGGCATGTGAGGTGTGGTATGGTATGGTATGGTATGGTATGGTATGGTATGGTATGGTATGATATGGCATGGTGAGGTGTGGTATGGTATGGTATGGTATGGTATGGTAATGAGTCAAGATATTTTGGAGAATCCTGGTGAACGCTGTTTGCAAACTTGTCCCTTAACATGGGAAGAAATAAAAAATACACGTTGTTTTGTGGGGATTTGGAGGGGAGGGAATAATGTAGATACTGGTACTCATGTCACTGCTTTCAGGTAGAATTAAAAAAATATTTTTATTATACTTTGCTGTTTGTTGAGCCTACTGATGGAGCTCGGTGACATGAAAGTAATTGTTCACTTCTAGACCTCTTAAGGTTCGGTTCAACTTCAGCAGACCTTAAACACAGCAGCGGTTGTTATCTACAGAAGAAGAAAAAAACAATGAATAATTGTGCAGATGTTTCTCTTCGCTTCACTTCGTGGAATTAATGACTGGAGCCAGAAGAAGCGAGGGGTCTTTTTTACTTGACTTGATGCTCATATAAAATCTGCTTGTGGATTTTAGTTACCCACGTTCTTTTGTTGGATTTTTTCTGCAGGAATACCAAATCTTTTTTTGACTCATTTTGTAAACTCATTTAACTTGTGTAACTATAAAAAGTCTTTGTCGTGAGGAGGCAAACATGCTTTTTTTGTGTGTCTCATGAAGGCTGCAGTGAAATGAATCTGCCCCCTGCCTGCTCACGACTGACCCTTTGCAAAGATTAGAGGGACAAAGCAAAGAATGAGCACATTTTTATCCCTTGCCCTGAATTATGTGGCTTTCAGGAATCTACTTATAACCCATTAGGTGCTTTTCTGAATTAATTCCTCATTTGTATTTCATTTTTAATGATCCTGCACTGGATTTATTAAACTTCCTATAAAAAAAAAATGTTATGTGCAAAGCTTTTTTCATTTTTCAAACTTTTCTGCAGATTTCTTTGGTTATCTATATGTCATGAGTCGCTGGAATAAATTAAATTAAATATAGTTTTGCTCATATTTGCTTTCCAAAAGGCTAAAGATCCAAAAATCTTGTTTAATTTTCCCTTTTTTTGCTTTTTTAGAGCTCTCGCTCACTTTTCCCTCTGTGCTTTCTTTCCATCTGCTCAGGTCTCCTCCAAGACCCAGTCCTGGAAGTCTGCACTACTCAGATGAGGATGTCAGCACTAAGTATAATGACCTGATTCCAGCAGAGAGCAGCAGTCTGACTGAAAAACCCTCTGAGATATCTGACTCTCAGGTAAGCAGTGAGTCTGGCTCAGAGCCGATACCCAACCCCTTGTCTGGAATAGGCAATGAGCCCACAGAATGAAGTGAAATTCATCTGACTGAACTTCTCAAAGTGATAAAGTCATCTCGAGCAAAGTTATAACATTTAAAAAGTTTCATTCCACTTTATTTTACTTGTCTGTCACATGGATAACCTCCTCTTTTCTCATAGTCATCATTCTAAAAAACATTTGTATGATTATAACGCAGAATTTCTGGTGTTAAGTTAATCCAAAAAGGCACTCCAGCACACTGTTTGATTTAGCAGAACTTCCATCAGACAAACAATGCCAAGAATTAGTTTAGAAGTTGTTTTAAGTGTCGATCTATTTACACACACACACACACACACAAAAAAAAAAAAACAGCACAAATGATGTTAAATTCTACAAACTCTTCATATTATCACCACCAGAAAAAAAAAAAACATTATTCAAGTTAATTTCTCTCAAGGGGATTGTTAAAAACCTGACGCCTGTTAGAAAAGCTCAATTACAGCTGATGTCTGTGACTCATTAAGCATGGGCTTCTCAATAGGAAAGGTCCCATGAGTGTTTTAATATCACCAAAAAAAAAAGGAAATCTCATATAGCTCAAAAGAGCAGGAGTGATGAGCATAACAGAACGGTAATAAAGGCAGGGAAGCAGGTTGCTGCACATTCTGAGCACGTGTTCCCCCCACTCCCATCCTCACCTTTGCACAGGGTCTTCCTGACTAATTTATCTTCTACCTGCACAGCCAAAACATTGTTCAAGACGGCTTGAACAAACATTGTCCTCCCCGAAGACACAACCCGGAGTTATTCTTCCCCCTCTGCATTGCCTCCCACTGTTTACCTGCCGCTTGTCCAAATAAACGGTGCTTCAACATCTGCTAAGCTGTATCTCAACAGAACCGCAGTTGTCAGACACGCAATTGTGCCAAAAGCCTCTGAGAGTAAATCGCTGCCTTTTTTTTGTCTTGTTTTTGTTTCTCATCAAGTACAATACACTGAAACAGCACCCACACAGTCATTCATAACTCACAAGACTGAAGATTATTATTTAAAATAATGGCAAACTAATCTTGTAAACATGATCTCTGTCCAATTCTAGGACACTCTTGTGTACACTTATCACATGTGTGCTCCACAGAGCTACGGGTGAGCTCCAGTGTCTCTGACAGATTCTCAATAGAAGTGATTATCTCCCCCACCTATAGAATGAATCACGCATTATTAGATTTAGAGCTGTGAGTCGACGTTTCGTGCCGTCTTATATGGACCAGTGCTGTGTGGTTTGTCAGTGAACAGCTCAATAATAGAAATTGTGTAGCCTTGATTTGAAAGCATGAAAATGTAGCTAGTGTTAAAGTGTCTTCTGTTCGCTGTGCCTGACTCGCAGGGTAGCGACAGCGAATATGAAATGGATCAGAGCCGGCAGAAGACCCACTCCTTCGTCAACCATTACATCAGCGACCCCACCTACTACAACTCGTGGAGGAGGCAGCAGAAAGGCGTCTCCCGTCCGCCGGCGTACGGCTACTCCCAGCCCGAGCCCCTGGTGGAGCAGGAGTCCCGACCGCAACCACCACCTGTGCCCCCGCTGCCCCCGCTGCCCCCTCTCCTCCCCCAGAGCGCCCCATCCCCACAGCCACAGGCCCAGGGCACTTTGTTCAGGCCGAAGGGAAGCCGGACTCCCACCCCATCCTTGCTGTCCTCGGAACCCCTCAGCCAGCACAGCACTCTCTACCGACCCCCCAGCAGCCTGGGCTGTGCCGCTCAGGCACCTACCGCAGGCTTCTCCTCCTTTGTTTGACACACCGCTCTCCTTCCAATAACCACAGAAACTTGATGGCGAGTTGTGGATTTTTTTAAAAAAGTTTTTATTTATTTTGCTCTTTTTTTTTTTCAGTATTCTGTTCCGTCACGATGACTGAGCTTCGGCTCGACATTACAGGCATCTTAAATAGTGCTTTCTCCTCCGTGAAGAGTGCGTGTATGACTGTGTTTAGCCGGTTGGTTAATCTCTGTAATCTGTGTTTCATGAAAAGACAATCATTTGAGGACTTTTTTTTTTTTTTTTGCATTAGCATAGTTTAATTAAATTAATGGATGCAAACAAGGATAAACAAAACTAAAGGTTCTGGTAAAAAAAATGAATCCTTGTTTTTAAAAAATATATATTAGGGTTTATTATGAGAGCTTTATCAGAAACACCTTAGATCCATTTATTGGATGGACCACGGGCTGAAACTGGACAATTAATAAGGACAAAGTGATGGAGATGATTATGGATTATGGATTATGCTGATTATATTTCACTCAAGGATGAAACCAGAGTGATGGACTCTGATTTGCAGAGAGGCACCTGCAGTTTGCAGCCCCGCCGGCTGCCTTTAACTTCCACACTCTGCTAGCTGCAGAAGCTGCAGTTTGTGTTTGTGTACATGTCTCATATTGTTTACCAGATATTTATATCAATCAGCTTCGAGATACGAATTTTCCGAACATCACTAGTGACAATGTTATGAATGACATTAAAGCATTGTGGCACCTTTATGATAGTCTGAGGATGTTGATCGTTCGCTGGTGCACAAGTCTGAAGATAAATCAACTTTTGTAACGTGCAATGCTCTTTAATCTTACTCACAGAAAGTGACTGAGGACCAAATGCACAAACGTTAGCATAACTTTACAGCCACACAATATATATGTATGCTACGAAAAGCAAAGATGTACAAAAAACAACTCACTTTCTTCAGTTTAATAAGTTAGAAAAAAAAAATTGTGCAAATGTCTACTAAAAGTTTCAAAATAATAGCTTAGCTGAAATTTCTATTTTTTCCCCCTCATATGTCTACTTTTTATAGATTTGTTTTGTAGAAAGGCGTCCTGAAAAGACCAGTTTTAAAGTAAGTCTTCTGTAAACACAGATGTTTTGAACCACAGCAGCTTGTACTGTAGATTTTACAGCCTGAGTTTGTTCTGCAATGTGCATTAATGGTTATTTAAAAGCATTTTTAATGGCAAAACAAAGGGTTAAAAGTGTAAATGTGGACTGTCACAATATATGTTTAACATATTGCAGCGCAGAGAGGCATTTATTTGATTTCTGTTTATTCTTCTTTTTAATGCTATGAGAAAAATATTAATGCAGTAAGTTGTGTTTTATTTTTTAACATTTCTTGCACCAATTTTGCACATACTGGTTCATCACATCCTCTCCGTGGGACTTTGCTGTGCTGGAATTGAACCCAAAGTGAATAAAACAGTCTTCAAATGTGCAGTGTGAACATGCATGTAAACAAGGGAACATTATGATCGTTTTCGTGGTAAAATATTTATATTTTATGGGAACTTTTCTTCATGAATCATCAGAACATTTTTGAATGCGGCGGAATATTACAGAGAATTATGTATTCATGGGCAAATTAGTCGGGGGGTATAAAGCTGACATATGAGAGGATTATAGAGCTTTACAGCTGTTGGATAAACAATGGTTTTAAAGCACACAGAAACCCGTATCAGACTCTGCAGACAACCGTTTTGCAGGGTCAGTCCTCGACAGGCCTGTTTTTGCATCGTCGGGGACTACATAAAGTGATTTCTGACACTTGATCCCACAGTGCAGGAGTGACCTGATTCTTTCAGCAGCAAGCAGAGACACGATTTGGATGCATGAGAGCACGAGTTCCAGGGAAGAATTAGAAAAAGAGCCTGATCCGGTGCAGACACGCAGAAGACCTGGGGGGGGGAAGGTGCGGGGCACAGGTGGTGGGATAATCTCCTTATTTCAGGCCAGGAGACATTGATTTTATACATGACATGCAAATAGGTGTAAGTGCAATGCAAAAGTTTATTCAAGGAAGAAAAAAATGCTGGAGCACATTTATTTTTAATAATTCAATTTCTGATAGGAGATCATCATCGTTATGTAAGGCAAATTATTTTCCGTTTATTGCAGGACATCGTCTTGATTCCGATGTTTGTTTTTGTTTAAAGTAATTTCCATGAACAGCCGGGTTGCGTTTGTTGTTCACGGAGACATTAAAATGCTACGACGCACTCTGAAGCTCAGTTTTGCAAACTAAATATTACATTTTTTGACATTTACTTTGTTTGCTACCTAAATGTATGCTAATTCTTTCACCAAACACACCCATAACTGTTCATCTTCAGACAGGGACAGAAATTCATCGCTCACTCAGATTCTCCCACATAAAGAGAGAGAAATCCTCACATCAACAAATCTGTCACATTTTTGCATTTCATTCCACTGTCTCCTCCTGGGATCCATTTAATGTGTCCTGATTCTGACTGTGTTTGTTGGAATAAATCCGAGCACATTTTTCCACCACAGCTTCCTCGTCATGGTGGTTGACTTCAAAATAAGGACATATTAGTGATGGAGCACAAACAGAGAAATTTAAACTAACAAGTATTTTAAAAGCGGTTGATTAAAACTTTATTTCAATGTAAATATTTGTATAATACAGGCTGCCTTCTGAGATCAGTGAATGTCAATCAAATGGTCACTTTCAAGTCATTGCATTGATTTTAAAGGGTTTTACCATTTTGTTGTGCTGGAGCATTAAGTTTTGTAATTTGATCAATTTATTTGAGCTTCCAGTGCTCAGACATGTGGTGTCCTATTTGCCCCTATAAGGGGCTTAGACTCTGACTAAAGCCTAAATTAGAAAGTGAAATGGATCTTTTGCTAATCAGAAAGTTTACAGCCACAATTTTTCCCGATCCATTTCTTCTTTCCACTCTTGTGGTAGATCCTAAAACCCTCACAGAAATTATAGGCCTATAGCATTCGTTGAATGCAAATCACCTGCTGCTGTTCATGCTGGAGTGTTAAACAAAAACTTCTTATGATGACACTAGTTGTAGCTCTCTGGGCAAACCTTGTAAATTCATCTATAGGCGAGCTCGTGATAGTGGGGGATCTTGCAAGTTACGGTAACGCTTTGCTGATGATGAACATTAGCTTCCACTGTTTATTTCCATTTCCATTATTATTTCCACTGAGTATTTAGCTCAGTGTCTAAAGTTGACCAAATATTAGCCACGTTTGTGTTTTCTTAGGTTGGTTGGCTGTGGCAGCCATCTTGAATTGAGCTGACTCAAATGCCCCTTTTCCACAGTTCCTCCTTGGCACCACGTTACCCTGCTCAGGCCAGTTCTGTGTTCGTTTCCAGAGGGCCTTCTTTGTGGAACCGGCCTGTTTTTTCAGTACCTGCTTCTCTGCGTAACAGCCATCAGAGTGCTAATGATCCATTGTTAGGCTGATGGTTCTTCTAGACCATGTGAGCAGCTGGTTTTGGTTGTCAGCAGCAAACTGGTTTATCCACTCTGAGAAGATGCTATTTAAGAGACTGAGCTGAATACAGCACCTCAGACTGAGGAAGTCTTTCGGATGAAAAACGAAATGTATCTACATTTTTTTTGCTTTGTTTTGTTTTTTTTGTTTTTTTGAATGTCCAGAGGACCAGATTTAACTTTTTTAGACTACTTCTCTGCGGTTCCATTGAGGCCAAGCTAAAACATGATGTCAGCATACTGTCGGTTACTGATTGGTCAGGGGGTGGAGTCATTAATCAGAGGGCGGAGTTTCAGAAACTGCCACTGCAACCCGATCTGCCAGTTTGTTTTTAACCCACCATTAGAAACAATTCAGGCAGCATGGTGGCACAACTGGTAGAGCTGCTACCTCTCAGCGAGCAGGTCCCTGGTTCTTATCCCGGTCCAGGGGCCTTTCTGGGTGGAGTTTGCATGTTCTCTCTGTGCATGTGTGAGTTTTCTCTGGGTACTCCAGTTTCCTCCCACAGACCAAAAACATGCATGTTAGACTGATTGGTAACTCTAAATTGTCCCTAGGTGTGAGTGAGAGAGTGAATGGTTGTTTGTCTCGTTTGTCTCTATGTGGCCCTGTGATGGACTTGCGACTTGTCCAGGGTATCCCCTGCCCCTTGCACAGTGATTGCAGGACATGGGCACCATGACCCCCGTGACCTAAAATGGAAGAAGCAGGTAAAAGATAATGGATGGATGGATTGGTAGAAACAACTCAAATCCAAATGAGTGTATTTTGGAGTATTATGAAGGTAAAACAAACAATAATGTCACAACCGTGGCCAAATTCTGAAGTTCAGGCGTTTTTGTGTTTGCTGATGAAAAAGTTCAGAACGAGCTAGATGGAGTGACACATAACAAGAAGTTTTTTAAAGAGGTGTCGGTGCATTGATAATAATGATCTGCCCACTATAGGGGCACTAATGGGCACTGTGGAAACGGAAAATGAAGCGATCCGACCTGTACCGGCCCAATAAGAGCCAATAAGGGCCGAGCCAAGCAGGACCTATGGAAAAGGGACTAAAGAGATAATCATTTATGTGCTAAATTTGTTGTAGTAGAAGCTAATGGGCATCACCAGCAAAGCATTACATCTTGCAAAATAATATCCAATATCGCTCGAAATCGCCTATAGCAGGGCTATTCAACTGGTGGCCTGTGGGCCACTTCTGGCCCGCGGGTGACTTCAATCCGGCCCACTTTTTTTTTTTTTTTTGGGGGGGGGGGGGGGGGTCTGGGATTGTATTTTGATGATCCAATGCAACAAAATAAACAAATTTAAAAGGTAACAGATCATTGTAAACTTTGGTTTATTTACATAATGATTTTAATTGCTTGATGTCTGGGCCCCGAGCTGTTGGCTTTCATAAACTGTGGCCCCCTGAGCAGTTTTGTTGAATAGCTCTGGCCTATAGCTTGATTTAAAAGGTGAAATGTCAGAATTAAAAAAGACAAACATATCAAGCACCAATAAAAGAAAAGCACATTCTGTCAAATTTATCACATTCTCTTCAGTACATTTACATTCAATTCATATTACATTTGAAAAAAGAAGCAGTCAAAGCTTGGAATGAAAGAAAACATTTAACAATCTCAAAATGTTTTTCTATTAAGGATATAATTCTCCAACTTATTCACCAGAAACTGTCCACATATTTTTAAAAGAATGCTGTGATTTTACTTTACATTCAAATTGGCTTTGAGCTTTTGTTTATATTACTGTAAAATCGCCAACACATTTTATGTCATTTCTTTTTTTTTTCTCACAGTGAGCACTGAATGTATTAAATGTATATTTTTATATTACATAATATTTTATTTCCTATTGTAACCAGATTTTATTAAGCTTGCTATTGAATAATTAAATTGTCTTGCTATGAATATGTTTAATACTTATCATAATGTTTAGAAAGAGAGCAGTTTAGCCGAAACATTTGGAGGAAGGTTGTGTCAAAAAAAGAACCTTAATGCAGAATCCTTGTGTTTGAACAAAAGGCTGCTGCGATGAAATTCTCATCTTCCAGAGTAATTTTGTCCCATCAGCTGCTGGTACAGAGCATTCTGGGAACAAAGCCAGACAGAAAGTCACTTGTGTGATACTCTGTTCATGGAACAAAGGGGGAGTTTGGAGAACAGCGTGGATTGATACAATTATGACTGAAAAATCATAGTATTGTTCTGTCCAGGTAGACTTGCTTTTATTTTCTCATGCACAGTCTGTTTTTCTGACTTTAGGGTGAGTATGCAGTCAATCTGTAGTGCAGCTTGGCTGCTTCCAGCTCATTTCCATTGCAAAAGGTACTAATGGTTGGTCACTGACTCGGAACAGCTGATCAGCCTGAAATACACACAATCACAGTCATCCATTAAAGTCTTTTGTGTTGCCAGACAGTGAAGAATGCAGTGAAGCTTTACTTCAAGTGTATTAGCCAATAAATCAAAAGTAAGCTGGCAGAAAATACACCGAAGCATAGTTCAGTCCTTTTAGGTAGTATTAAATTATGAATAATTTATATTTTACTTGTTGCAGATTGCTCTTTGAACAGCCTCACTTTAGAGAAATAGTGTTTAATTCTGACCAGATTAACGAGCTAGCGAGCGCTAATGAGGTCAAAGTGAATTGCAGCTGCCTTAAAACAGCTGAAAATAAAATGAAGGCAGTCCATGTGAATGCTTTATAAACCTTTACGTTTCCGTTAGTTTCACAATAAATTATTTACCTAGAATTCTAAGGTTGGTTGCAAGTGCAATAGCAGTAGCAGCTAGCTGTAGCACCTCTGGTGCAGCCTGGAGCAAATTTCTGCAAGAGTACCATAATATTTCTACCAAAATATTCATGTAATGCAACACTGACAATGTCACGTGTCTTAAAAAGTCGCTTATAACCAGCTAAACAAAAAGTGCCACAGAGAAAGAAGTGTAGAGGTTATGAACCTTTGATGTGTTCTTTCACACCAGAAGGTTGTAAAAACAAAAATCTTGGTTCATAAGCCTGAAAAATTATTAATTTTTTTTATAATTAAAAACTCCATTATGTGGTTATTAATTAGCCTAGCCTTTACAATATTTTCTGCCCTTGTTCCATACTTCATTCTCTACGACTGTCACTACTGATAAAATACTGTTGGGCCTTTTCACTGAGCACCTCAAGCCAAAACTTTTAGACACCTCCGTGTAATGGACTGAGGCAGCAGGGAGTTTTAAAGCTGACCCACCCCTGATGCACCTTTTGAGATGCAAAACAAGGTAGTATCAGAGCCAAAATGCTCAGCATGTGTGAAGGTAAGCCAGCATTGAGGCTCAATAATTTACTCAAGTAATGTAATGCTCTTCTGCACAGTGGCGCAACTGGTAGAGCTGCTGCCTCTCAGCAAGCAGGTCCCCGGTTCAAATTCCAGTCCAGGGGCCTTTCTGGGTGGAGTTTGCATGTTCTCTCCATGCATGCGTGGGTTTTCTCCAGGTACTCCAGTTTCCTCCCACAGACCAAAAACATGTATGTTAGGCTAATTGGTAACTTTAAATTGTCCCTAGGTGTGAGTGAGAGAGTGAATGGTTGTTTGTCTCGTTTGTCTTGTTTGTCTGTATAGTGTCTCTGTGATGGACTTGCGACCTGTCCAGGGTGTACCCTTCCCCTCGCACAGTGATTGCTGGAAATGGGCACCAGTGACCCCCCATGACCCAAAATGGAAGAAGCGGGTAAAAGATAATACCATACCATACCATACCAATTTATTTATATAGCACTTAAAACAGCAACAAGGCCAACCAAAGTGCTGTACAAAAGAACACAAACATGCACAGCAGACAGGAAAACATAAAATAGAAATACAGATACAAATAGCAGCAGAAGCTAACTAAAATGGCCAACAGAGTAGAGAACAGACCGGGCCAAAACAAATCACACCGTGTTAAAGGCAAGCGAATAGAAGTGGGTCTTCAAGCGAGACTTAAAGACTGAGAGTGTGGGAGCCTGCCGGACACTCAGTGGCAACTCATTCCACAGTCGTGGACCTGCAACAGAGAAAGCCCTGTCACCTCTGAGCTTACGACGGGTTTCTGGGACTGAGAGAAGCATCTGGTCTGCTGACCTCAGAGAGCGCGGTGGGACATATGGCTGCAGATTAGTGAGATAGGATGGGGCGGAACTGTTCAGTGATTTAAAAACATACATGAGAATTTTAAAATGGATCCGAAGGTGAATGGGTAGCCAGTGCAGGGAGGCCAAAACTGGCGTGATGTGCTCTCTATAGCCTGTACCAGTTAAAAATTGGGCTGCAGCATTTTGGACCAGTTGTAGACGAGCAATGGAGGACTGACTGATTCCAAACAGAAGTGAATTACAGTAATCAAGCCTAGATGTTATGAAGGCGTGGATCACTGTCTCAAGGTTCTAATAATAATGGATGGATGGATGTAATGGTCTGTGCTACCACTGTGCTTCAAGATTAAACAACTACAAAACGGTTTGTTACCGAGGAAATATAGATGATGGCGCACAGCAACTTTGCATTTATTTATTTTTTAAATTGTTACCCACTATAGTTGCTAAACCAATTTAATTTGCGACAACATGGTGGTGCAGTTGGTAGAGCTGCTGCCTCTCAGCAATCAGGTTGTCCCAGCTCAAATCCTTTTCAAATCAGGGTGGAGCTTGCATGTTTTCTCCGTGCATGCATGGGTTTTCTCCAGTTTCCTCCCACAGACCAAAAACATGCATGTTATGTTGATGGGTAACTTTAAATTGTCCCTAGGTGTTAGTGAGAGAGTGAATGGTTGTTTGTCTGGTTTGTCTCTATTTGTCCCTATGATGGACGGGAGACACACCCAGGGTGCAGCCACATGGCCCCAGCACAGAGGTGGCTGGACATGGGTACCAGCGAACCCCACGATCCAAAAAGGAAGAAGCAGGTAAAGATAAAATGGAATTTAATTAGCATATTTGGAAAATGATACGAGGCAGAGCATCTGTCACAGTTTTTATGTGTTGCGCTTCACGTCATCACAGCTGCCATTTTTGATTTGGTTGATGCTAGCTTTATTTTTGAAAAGCTCACATTCGTGCAGCACATGGCCGACTTCAGCTGTGATTTTTGAATGGCCAAAACCAACTAGTCTTTAATTTTGCTAAACTTGTTCGTGAAACTATCCCATTATCTAGTTGAATACATTCCTGACTGACATATTTAAAATGAAACAGCTCGTGCTTGTGTCTTTCATTGCTGATAGTTTCATTACTTCCATACTATTTTTTTTAACTTTATTGAACTACTGAACATACAGAACAAAAGAACAAAAGAACACAAATAGAACAACAAATGACAATCTCAAATTACAATGATACATATAAACATAAACAAATATCTACAATCATACCTCCTAAAGTCAACATATTCTAAAACGAATTATCATATCAACCATCATAAACTTAAATTTAGGTAATAATACTATTTGAGAGTTTGCAAATAATATAGTACAGTAAATTAAACAACTAACTATTTATCTAAGAATCTACATAATTACTAAAATAATTTGTCAGAGGGCTGTATTATCTGAGCGAGGTGATCTGAGAGCTTTTTTGCTTGTGTTTTTTTAGCACTGTCTAATGAAAGTTTTAACAACTGGAGTTCTTGTTTGAATACAGACCATAATGGTTAACACTTGCCATATCTGCATTTATGCATATAGAATTTTAATATTATGATAATGTTATTGACAAAGTATTCATCTTTTTTTATTTTCAGATACATATCCATATAATATATTCTGAACGGAGAAGGAGTCCATGTTCATGAATTTCATAGTCAGGAGATGGTGAAGGGATTTCCATAATGTGTTCACAGAATGACAGAAATAAAATAAATGTTCTGCTGTTTCAGGTTCGTTACATATATAACAGTTACCACATTCAAATTTAAATCTATTTCAGATAAACTCGTTAGAAGGATAAAATTACGTCCATAATATAAGTGGAGGAACCGGTTCTGGTGTCTTCCTCGTGACGTCACTGACGTCGGTCGACGTGACACGCATGACGTCTTGATGAGCGCAGCGGCCTCCTGCCTCTTTAAGGAGACTGAAGAAGGGTGTGTTCACCCTCACTCCAGCAGGAGGCTTCCGTTTAGTGGTGAGTCCCTGCGTTTCAACGCTGAAGCAGCTACTGAGAGGATGCGGCAGCAGCTGTAGTGTTTGTCTAACAGCACAAAGGCTGAGCTGAGGGCTCGAGCTGCGAGGCTTGAAGCACAAAGAAGCCGAGCGGCGCGCCTCACATCTGCTTCTGTTTGATGAGCCGACCTCCTCCATTACTAGTTCTCATCGACCTGCGGGGGGGCTGGAGCTGCAGCCGGCTTTTATGAATGGGATGCTCGGTAAGCTTTTGTCTTTGGACCTCCACATCAAACCTCATTTATTAAAAGTAACCTGTTTTAGAGCTGTATGTGTGTGTGCTAATGCCTCAGCTGAGAGTAACATGCACATAGCTGCTGACGGTCACCTAATATTGTCCTGCCATGACCCACCCTGATTTTATTGTCTTATGATCAAGCTCATATTGCTCAAATAATATGTTTAACCATACTGAGTTAAAAGCCGCTGGTCAAAAATGACTTTTTCTTGTTGTTTCTGTTCAATGATTTTAAAGCAGCTGTTGTAGACATCACAAATATTTGCATATATAGTTTTATTCCGTTGAATTGGCTTCTTATTTCTTACTGTGGGGCTAATTATAATTATAGTTAAGCTTGCGTTCAGTCAGAGTAAAATCAGAAACGTGTTTCATTAGACTGGTTTCCTGTGCAGCTTTCGCAGTGATTATATTTAGAGAGACGCGTGTAAACTTTAGGTAGTTGGAGCTAAATTTGACATGTCTACTACTTTAGTTTGTACATTATCAGAGGAGGAAGAAAATCTCACATTTTAGACCTATTTGTTGTGCATATGTTCTGTTTTTTTTTTTTCAAGTTATAGCTGGTGATTGTATACAAACTCGAGCAGTGACATTATAAAAAGATTAGGGCTCGGGTATGTTCGTCATCAGTAACGCTCCTGTTCGACGAGAGTTTGGCTTCAGTTCGTGTTTGTGGGACAAATGAGGGTTTGCTTTTGCAGGTCTAAATGTGACATTTGACCCATCGTTGCCACAACACGCCGGGGGCCTGGTCCCATTGTCCTGCTCACCTGAAAAGTGTGATGGATTTAGTCAAACGAGCAAGCAGCATCCCTGAGATTAGTCTGTGTACTTTCTTCTTAAAGGTGCCTCTGGAATGCCTTTCAATGGAGGGGAGATGTTTGAACCAGCTGTTTTTCTATATATTACGAAGCATCCAGTTGTAAATCGAAGTACCAGAAGATAAAAATAATTCCTGTGGTGTTGGACATTGTGCCAACCACTCATTCTGGGCTCCTGTCCCAAGAAATTCAAGCTGACCATAATTGTGTTTAGAGAAGTGAGCAAATTAGTGCTGTTTACCATTTTAATTTGGACATAATCAGCATTTTATGAAGCTGCTGGGGCCAAAATGGAGTGAAACCAGACTACTTTTGGCTATTTGGTGCATGCACCTAAATTTGAACATGTTTGCAGTTTCTGCGCTTATTTGAGGCAATGTGTGTGTCCAGTCCAGCCCCTTCACATTCCAGGAAATACCAATGTAAACTGTTGTTTTACTTGCAATCTCTGTTAGAAAGATAACTCTGATTTATTGTAGAGACTAGTCCTTTTTAGGATAAAGTTTTTTTTTTTTAGTTTCAGTCAGTGTGATCCGTAAAATCATCCATTCATTAATGTATTGAGTACAAATTTATAGTTTGACTTTAAATGCAACTTTTTTATTTAATTGTGCCCTCATCGTCCGAACGTCTCTTTCTAAGAGTGCGTCATGTGTCTTCTCTTTGAATACTGTTTGTTCCTGTGTCTGATGTTTGGCTACATTGTTTTCTGGCCTGATCCAGAATGCTGCTGCGTGACCCCGTCTGCTCTGGTTTGTTAGTTAGAGGAAATGTTTATTCTCTAATGCCATCCTGTTTCCTCGCTGCAAGATGAAGGTATTCTTATTAGCGAACCAAGAGACAATAACTAGTACATTACCCATTTTAGTCCTGCATCAATTTTCGCACAAAAAAGCATCCGCAGTTTTTATTTTAGTAATTTCATTGTAGATTCTGAGCATACTAATAATGCACTTGTGTTTTTTCTCATGAGCAACACAGAGCTTCAGTCATGTGATTGTCCCAGTGGACAGCAATGAGAGGAAAATGGATTGTATGTTCATCGCACCTATAACATGTGACATAATGTCCCTTTTCAAATAATTTGTATTATGCTTTTAATGGTTGATTTATTACCTCACAGACCCAAACGATCAACAAACCGTTTAGCAAGATGTACCGCGTCCGGAGATGACTTGGACAGTGAATTAAGTTCTACGTCAGAAATTCTGTACCGGCTGCTACGGTTACCTTCAGGTCAAAGTTCACGGCCAAACTGCATCATGCTCGGATCACATGGATCAGTTAAGAGTGTCAATGAACCTTTACATGAAAGATTATTTTGACTCCCAGCTGCCATATCTGGGAGTTGGTTTGACATTGAGAGATTTGACTTGGTTGGATTTAGGTAAATGTAGTTTGTTTTTTTTACATCTTTAATCCGTTGTTTTGGAACAATGTTAAAAATACACATCGCTAAATTCAATTCAATGCTTCCTCTTGATGCCACTTGAACTTATTTGCAGTTTTATGTTGTGGGATGGTGACACATCCTTGGCCCTGCGAGCTGCTTTCAGGGTGACACTACTTTTGAGTAACCACAACCTCAGAAAATGACACAACAACAACAAGAACACAAGCAGCAATGGTTCGATTTGTCAGACTCCAACACGAGCAGATCATGATGCTGTAAAAAGTTCTAGTAGCTTGTTGGAACTAAAAGCATAGGGTAAAAAATGTTTAGCTGCCCTGTATTCCAGAATCACCCATAGATTACCTTTTTTATATTTGTCATTTTAATCCATTAAATATATAATTTATTTTGTAGGCTAAAGACAATCCTGTTTAAATAAGGACAACTGAACCATACAAGTTGTGCCTATATCACTTTTTTTATTTTATAGGCAAACATGCAAGAAAATAAAATGCCAAACACAACTAAAGCTATTCTTTGAAGCCAACAAAGTTAAGTCAGGTCCTCTGGATAGTTTCTTTTTGTTGAAACGTTTTGTCTTTCATCCAGAAGTCTTCATCAGTTCGAGGAGCCACAACAAACTCAGTGTTGTAAATAGCACCTTCACATACCAGTTTGATAGCGCTCTGATGGTTCTGGAGTCCGCCAACTCATCTGAGGCAGTCCTGGTCAAAGTGGTTCAAAATATCCTAATCCAGGTAGAAAAATCCAACTAAATTAAGTCAAGTCATCTAAACAGTTTTATTTTTGTTGAAACGTTTTGTATTCTTTGAAGCTGCCTTTTTTTTGGCTTTTCTCAACTCACTCTGTAATTACGGCATTCTCCTACTTAAAGACAAGCGATATTCCCCCATTTCTTAGTTTGTCTGCATTATTTTAATTAAAATGTCTCCTTTTTTTTTCTTCTTCTTCTTCTTTGTGATTTTATGAGACCGCACTGCTTCAGACAACAACCCTGCAAACACCTGGGCCTCAGGTTCAATCTGTCATCAGGTTATGTGACTCCTCTATCTGCTGCGGAGAAAATCCGGATGCGTTCATCTGAGAACATAATGAAAGAAGTCTGCTCCGTGCACTGATACAGTTTTTGGACATGTTCGTGTGAGCTCCGGCTCACATCCTGGTGGCTTATTAAAACGGCGCGTTGATGGAGATATGTGCTGTTTGTTTGGTCAGCCCCGCTGTAATACTGTATGATTGAGTGAGGCCATGTTTACACTGCGAGTGGTCAGGAAGGGCAGGCTGATTTCCGGTGAGATGGGAGCGCTAGCAGCTTCATTTTCTCCCTTCACTTCCTGTGGACGTGTTTCACCAATAAAACTTGGGCATTTATGTTTGTGCAACCATTCTGGGAGTCTCATTGCTGTTGTTGGTGTCTTTATATCAGTGTTTGCCATTCTGTGTGCATCCACAGTAAGCTTAAGGAGCATGCTGTGTAGAGAAGTAAATGACCTGGTATTAGTTACTGTCCAATCTGGAGGAGTTTAAGGCATTTCTCATTACTAAAAGCGTTCAAACTGTCCGTTTCTATGCTCTCATTGATGTCTTCAGTCTGAACCTGCATTTTGCTTTTAACTTCAATGCCAAAGTGGTACCAATATTGTTTTTTCTCTGATGATGCAGATGTTGTGTGGCAATGTCTACAATTTCAGCAGACATATTGAATTCTGACCCAAGTTGATGGCAGAGCTGGATTGTACAACAGTGATTCTGTTTATAAAGACCTTGTGGGGCCATGGAAACATGATAATCATCACAGTCAAAAATGAAACCGCATGTTAAATGATGGAGAAATGCAAGCACCATATTTGCAATCAGCGGTTTGCTGTGGAGAAAGTACTCAAACAACTTGAGTAAAAGTACAATAAACAGACAAAAATGTACTCTAGTAAAAGTAGAAGTACCACATTAACATTTTTACTTAAGTAAAAGTACTTTTAAAAATGCCTAAAGTATTAAAAATAAAAGTACTTGCTGAATGTATTACCTAATTCAATGGGCCAAATAAGTTCAATCTGGTCCTCTGGACATTCAAAAAAAAAAAAAAAAGAAAGAAAGAAATAAAAATGTAGAAACGTTTCGTCTCTCATCTGAAAGACTTCCTCAGTCTGAGGTGCTGTATTCAGCTCAGTCTCTTAAATAGCACCTTCTCAGAGTGGATCAACCATTTTGATGCTGACAACCAAAACCAGCAGCTCACATGATCAAGAAGGACCATCAGCCTAACAATGGATCATTAGCACACTGATGGCTGTTTACTATTCACAGGGGGTTGAGTGATACTAGCAATCGCAGCATTGTAAGAGGGGGACAGTTGAACCCGGAGGCCTCCACCCCTGTTTAATGATGGACGATTTCTTTTCACAAAGATGGCCTCCTTTACTCCTCTCTCAAACCGTCATTCCTCTCTGTCCAGGATGTGAACATCATCCCTGAAAGAGTGACCGCTGGCCTGGAGATGAGTGTAGACCGCAGAGTCCTGGCCTGATGATGTTGATCTTCTGTGCTGGGCCTAATGCAAAGGTCTACATATCTTTAAGTGTGCCTACCATATGTATATTTTCTGTAATACATTAATAGTGTTGAGCCATTTTAATGAACAATGCTGCAGATAATGCATGTTTTTATTGTTTACCCTGTGACACCGTTCACGCTTGGACTTGTGATTCTGTGCATCAGAATTTCAGG